CTCACCACGACTCGCTTAATTCGCTACAACGCAAAATCTAAAATCTCCAAAAAAAGGAATTAAGAGGGAGAGGTCGTCGCCCCCCCGCGGTGGGGTCTCCGACCTCAAATTTCCCTCCTCGATCGGGCTTTCTCGCCCTTGTGACGGACGTCAAAAAAAAGTCACGTCACAATATATATATATCTGTATATGTATGTATTTTAAAATATTTTAATCATTTTTAAGATTTTTATATTATTTTATAATATATTTTTTTATTTTTTTTCTGATCTACTCTACACTTATGCCTATATTAAATAAATAAATGTCTTCATGCGTGATTATTTAAAATTCCTACATGTTTTCTGCCGCGGAAATCTCACGTGTCGTCGGCCAGCAGTTGCAACGTTGCCATGTCTTGATAGCATGTAACGTCTAATTTTCTGTGTTTTGAACTTTTAAACGCAATATTTTGGAAACCGTGAAGCTAAGCTTCCTGAAATTCAACTATAGTATAGTGACTACAATCCTTAATAACATATTAGTTTTTAAAAATTTTCCTAAATTTTTTTTCGACGCTATTGTTTAAAATATGCCTTTCACAACGATCCCTCCATAAGATTCAATATTAAAACTCACAACTTTGAGAATTTATATCTCGATTTCGGTGAAACTGAGTCCTCTGAAATTTTGACATGTTGTACATAATAATGTTATTTATACATGGTAATTTTTTCAAAATATTCTTAAATTGTTGAAAAATTGCGATAACCCCCTTAAAGCATGACTCAAAAAAGTAAAAATTTCTAATATAATATGAAAATTTACCGTTTTTTTTTTTTATTTTTTTCACTCGTTGATGGCCCAGGCATATATAAGTTTCTCCTTGTGCAGATGGTTTTTTTTTTTTTAATATCAGAATGATTACTATTTAGGTGATTCTGTAAAGTACTTACAGGACTAATATTAATCATTTTATTACACTTAAGACACTTCACCTGATGTTTATCTATATTAAGCTCTTGAATATGGTCCCATATATAACTCGTCAGTAAATCTTTTTCTAAATTTATAGGTATCTTATGTTTCCTACATAAATGTTGCGTCCATTTTGCTCTTGCACATTTGATCGCATAATTCCGACCACAAATATTACATTGCATACGCAAATCGTTAATTTTATTAAAATGCTGCCATTTTGGATGAAACTTTTTACTCTTGTCTACATTTGGGTGCTTTCTCGTGAAATGATTATTTACTTTCTTCATATTTTGGTACATTATAATCGTTGGAATAGAACGTGGACACAATTTACATCGTGCTTGAAAATTCTCGAACTTTTCAAAATATTTTCACTCCCATTCTTTTCGATTGCATCGTGTAGGCATTCCGGCCGTCTTATGCAATAGCAATATCGAATAACTAAGTAAAAAGAAAAAGAACGCACGAGGCGACATGAGATAATGCATTAAAATTAATAAAAGTTTCTAATATAACAGTATTAATAAAACTTACCGTTGTTTTTTTTTTATCGTCGTGTACTTGTTGATGGCCTAGGCACATTGGTTTCTCTTTGTGTATTTGCGCTGTGGTGTCTCTAGTATGTACTTGTTTATATCACCTGAAGAACTAAGCTTTAAAATCCGACCACACTCTTTACAATGCGCGCAATAATCATCATGCTGCGCAATATACTTTAATATAAAGCTCAAACGAGATGTGCTATCTCTTTCTACAAGTATTTTATGTTGAGATAAATGTCTGATTAATGTTGTGATCGCATAATTGCATTTGTATAATTGTTCACGAAGATAGCACTGCACGTGTAAATAACCATTCATAATATTGAAATATAGCCAATGAACTTTTCTATTTGTTTTCATATTTAGATGAACACTTTTCAAATGATTATCATTGCATTTTAAAAGATTATCATGATTGTAGATATTATAAAACATAAAAATGCTGCATGTATTAATATAGTAAGTTCTGTTTGTATAATTGTAATAAATATGTTGGTATTGCTAATGTGAGTCATAATGATTTTCGTGTATTAGGAAATTCTCTTATGTACATAGAGTGGAAGCTCTTATCGACATTAGCTATAGAACAGATTGACGCGAGACATTATATACATCTTGATGCATTCTCTGCTCGAAATCATGTACAAAATCATGTTATTAAATATTGAAATCGTTTTTAGTATTTAAAACTTTTTATATTCATATACTTTCTTCTTCTACATATGTACAAGGTTTTATTGAGATCATTCTTTGGTTTGGGAATCCTTTCCCTAATAAGTGAGAAAAAACAAATAATCCCTTTCTTTACTTAATAAATAATCCTTTGCTTCTCTAATAAGTGAGAAATAATAAATAATTGAATAATATAATAAAATAATAATGAATAAACTAGAAGAATTAATTGGAAGCGTTAATAAAATAAAAGTAAAATAAATTAACAAATACATTAATGAGGTTGTAGGTAAGGATACAGATTGTGTTATAATTATTGTATCGCATATTTGCTGTTTATTAAATATAGAAAATTTGACTATCAAATACATTTGATGTTTTATTATTATTAGGATTAAACAGAAATAATTAATTGAGAATAAATTAACTGAACTTAACAGTAAATTAGTATATCAAATAAAAAAGGCATAATATATTTATTTTAAAATGCTATCTTATTAATATTAATTTGTCAGTTTTGCACTGGTTACAGCCAATTAATCACACAATAATTTTAAAATCAGTAGTAACCAAAAATCTAAAATAACATACATTCACTTTCACATAACATTTTGAGCATCTCCACAAAAGTTATAATTCAAATTTAAATTACATAAAGTACGTAAAATAATGAAGATACATAAATATAAGAACATTATAAAATTAAATAAGATTCGATTATTTGACACTCTTGGTTAATGAATAGTTATAAAATTATATGCATATTTGCAGAAAGTACATTGTTCGTTAAATCGATTTACATTATAGACACAAATATTTGAATACACTTGTGTAATTATTATATAAAAAATAATGTGACTCATATGTACATCGTTATTATTTTTTATATATATGAAAGTAATAACAAATACACATAATATGTATCTTTTTTATTACTATAATATAATTTATATATACGTTATTATACTATGTATATATATATATATATACATATATATATATATATATATAGTGTAACTGTTTGTATAGTAATTAATATGCTAATTACACATATATGACAGTTTCTTCAGATACTGCAAATCATTTATTATATATACCTCAAATCATATATACATAATGTTATTGCATGATATATAATAAATAATATGCTAATTACACATGTCATAGATATGGCAGTTTCTCCAGATATCTCAAATCATTTAAGTTGTCATAGTCAAGATTGATGCTGGTCGTGGTACTTGAATATAAAACCTGTGTTAAATCTGGGTGGGATAAATCTACGAGAAATTTTTGAATACTTATTAGAAAAGCATATTATTTTTTTTATTTGAGGTATGCACGCAATAGATGTATATTAAGCATGACTCAAGAAAAGTAAAAATTTTTACTATAATATTGAAGCTTACCGTTCTTCTTTTCTTTAACGTTGTGCACTTGTTGATGGCTCAGGCATATCAGTTTCTCTTTGTGGAGTTTGTTCTTTGTTCCAAATATCACGATGTTCATCAAACATGTGATTATTTAAAGCTTTCACAGGACGAAGTATAATCATATCATCACACACAAGACACCTCACCAGATTTTTATCATACTCTTCAATATAATTCCATATAAAAATCGTTTCTAATTTTTTCCCTAAATTTATATGTATATTATGTTTCTTATATAAATGTCCCTCCCAATTGCAATAGTTGAGATCGCAAAACTGTAACGACAAATATTACATTATATTCGCGAATCGTCAACTTCATTGAAATGCTGCCATTTTGAATGAAGTTTTTTACTCACAAATATATTTTCGTGCTGCAACTCTAAGTGATATCTCACGTTGGTCATATCTCGATACATCAAAACGGTTGGATCAGAACGTGGGCACAATTTACATTGTGCTTGAAAATACTTCAATTCTTCAAAATATTTCCACACCCATTTGTTTCGAATGTATCGTCTAGACATCCCGGCGTCCTATGCAACAGCAATATCGAATAACTAAGAACGAAGAAAAAAGAACGAACGAGGCAACATGAGATAATGCATTAAAATTTATAACAAATTCTAATATAATAATATTAATAAAACTTACCGTTACTTTTTCTATGTCGTTGATAACTTCGTGATGGCCTAGGCACATTGGTTTCTGTTTGTATATTTGTGTTGTGCTGTTCTACTGCGCGTGTGTTTAGCTATCTTTCGAGTATGGGCGTTTATATGGCTCGCAGGACTAAGCTTTAACATCGGACCACACTCTTTACAATACGCAATAATCAGCATGCTGCGTAATATGCTTTAATATGAAGCTCAAACGAAATGTGCAATCTTCTTCTACGAGTATTTTATGTTGAGATAAATGTCTGATTAATGTTGTGATCGCATTGCTATAATCGCATTGAAATAATTGCATTCGTATAAATGTGTTCATAAAGATTACACTGTACCTGTAAATAACCATTCATAATATTGAGATACAGCCAATATACTTTTTCTATTTGTTTTTATATTTGGATGTGCAGTTTTCAAATACAGATTAACCTTGCATTATTAAAAATGATCAAGATTGTAAATATTATAAACCAGAAAAATGCTGTAAGTATTAATATAGTAAGAGTTCATTTTAGATAATTGCAATAGACATATTTGTATTGCTAATATATGTTATAAAGATCTTCATGTATTAGGATAAGCTCTCAAAATACATAGCGTGGAAGATCTTATCGACATGAGTTATAAAACAGATTGGCGCGAGACATTATATACATTTTGATGCATTCTCTGTTCGCAATCATGTAGAAAATTATGACGTTAAATCGTAATATTAAAATTGTTTTTAGTAGTAATTCAAACTTTTTATATTCATATATTTTCTCCTTTTACATTAGTGCACAGTTTTATTGAGATTATTTCCTGGTTTGGGAGATTTCCTAATAAGTGAGAAATAGTAAGTAATTGAATGTTATAACAAAATAATAATGGAATAAAATAGAAGAACTAATTAAATAAAACATTAATAAAATAAAAGTAAAATATATTTGCAAGCACATAAATAATGTCATCATTCAGGATAAAGATTGTGCTATAAGTCTTATATTCCACATTTTCTGCTTCTCAAATATAGAAAATTGGACTATCAAATACATTTACTGTTTTGTTATTATTAGAACGATAAAATAGAGGAAATACGGAATAATTTAACCAAACTTAACAGTAAATTAGTATATCAAATAAAAAAGTCACAAAACATTTATTATAAAATGCCATCTGATTAATAATTTGTCAGTTTTACACTGCATTTGTTACAGCCAATTAATCACACAATACTTTTAAAATCAGTATTTACTACAAATCTAATATAATGTATATTCATTTTTATTTAACATTTTGGGAATTATCTCCACAAAAGTTATAATGTCAAATTCATACTACATAAAACACGTAAAATAAAAAAAGAATACAGACATATAAAAATATTATAAAATAAAATAGCACTCAATTATTTGACAATGTTGATTAATGAAAGGTTATTAAATTATACATGGTTGCAAAAAGTACATTGTTTGTTAAATCGATTGACGTTATAAGCACAAATATTTGAATACACTTGTTTAATAATTATATAAAAAAATAATGTAGACTTACATATATATATCGTTATTATTTTATTAATATATAAAAGTAATAAAAAAATTGTAATTGTAATTGTGTGGTGTATAATAAGTAATATGCTAATTACACATGTTATCGATATGGCAGTTTTTTCAAACACTTCAAATCATTTTAATCGTCAAAGTCAAGATTGTTACTGTTGCTAGTCGTGATACTTGAATATAACACCATTGTCAAATCTGGATGAGATAAATCTATGAGAAATTTAACATTACTTATTAGAAAGATATATTAATTTTTTTATTTGCAGTATGCACATAATCTACGTATATTAAACATGACTCAAGAAAAGTAAAAATTTTTACTATAATATTGAAGCTTACCGTTCTTCTTTTCTTTAATGTTGCGCACTTGTTGATGGCTCAGGCATATCAGTTTCTCTTTGTGGAGTTTGTTCTTTGTTCCAAATATCACGATGTTCATCAAACATGTGATTATTTAAAGCTTTCACAGGATGAAGTATAATCATATAACCACACTCAAGACACTCCACCACATTTTTACTACATTCTTCAATATGATTCCATATAAAAATTCTTTGTAATTTTTTTCCTAAATTTATATGTATATTATGTTTCTTATATAAATGTCTCTCCCAATTGCAATAGTTGAGATCGCAAAACTGTAACGACAAATATTACATTATATTCGCGAATCGTCAACTTCATTGAAATGCTGCCATTTTGGATAAAATTTTTTACTCACAATTATATTTTCGTGCTGCTTTAAGTGATATCTCACGCCGGTCATATTTCGATACATCAAAACGGTTGGATCAGAACGTGGGCACAATTTACATTGTGCTCGAAAATACTTCAATTGTTCAAAATATTTCCACTCCCATTCGTTTTGATTGTATCGTGGCATTCCGGCCGTCTTATGCAATAGCAATATCGAATAACTAAGTAAAAAAAAAAAAAAAAACGCACGAGGCAACATGAGATAATGCATTAAAATTAATAAAAGTTTCTAATATAACAGTATTAATAAAACTTACCGTTGCTTTTCTTTATCGTCGTGTACTTGTTGATGGCCTAAGCACATTGGTTTCTTTTTGTGTATTTGCGTTGTGTTGTTCTACTGCGCGTGTGCCTAGATTTCGAGTATGTGCGTGTTTATATGCTCCGAAGAAATAAGCTTTAAGATCCGGCCACACTTTTTACAATATAAGCAATAATCATGCCGCGTAATATGCTTTAATATAAAGCTCAAACGAGATGTGCAATCTTCTTCTACAAGTATTTTATGTTGAGATAAATGTCTGATTAATGTTGTGATCGCATTGCTATAATCGCATTGATATAATTGCATTCGTATAAATGTGTTCCCGAAGATTACACTGTATGTGTAAATAACCATTTATAATATTGAGATACAGCCAATAAACTTTTTCTATTTGTTTTTATATTTGGATGTGTAATTTTCAAGTACCTACAGATTAACCTTGCATTATTGAAGATTATCAAGATTGTAGATATTATAAACCAGAAAAATGCTGTAAGTATTAATATAGTAAGAGTTCATTTTAGATAATTGCAATAGACATATTTGTATTGCTAATATATGTTATAAAGATCTTCATGTATTAGCATAAGCTCTCAAAATACATAGCGTGGAAGATCTTATCGACATTAGCTATAAAACAGATTGGCGCGAGACATTACATACATTTTGATGCATTCTCTGTTTGCAATCATGTAGAAAATCATGACGTTAAATCGTAATATTAAAATCGTTTTTAGTAGTAATTCAAACTTTTTATATTCATATATTTTCTCCTTTTACATTAGTACACAGTTTTATTGAGATTATTTCCTGGTTTGGGAGGTTCACTAATAAGTGAGAAATAGTAAGTGATTGAATGTTATAACAAAATAATAATGAATAAAATAGAAGAGCTAATTAAATAAAACATTAATAAAATAAAAGTAAAATAAATTTGCTATTATATTTATAAGGTTGTAATTAAGGATACAGATTGAGCTATAATTCTTGCAAAGCATTTTCTGCTTATTAAATATAGAAAACTTTGCTATAAAATACATTTGATGTTTTGTTATTATTAAAACGATAAAAAAGAGGAATTACGGAATAAATTAACCAAACTTAACAGTTAATTAATATATCGAATAAAAAGTCACAAAACATTTATTTTAATGCCATTTGATTAATAATAATTTGTCAGTTTTACATTGCATTTGTTACAGCCAATTAATCGCACAATAATTTTAAAATCAGTATTTACTAAAAATTTATATTCACATAATAATATATATTCATTTTTATATAACATTTCGAGCATTATCTCCATAAAAATTATAATGTCAAATTCAAATTACATAAAACTCGTAAAATAATGAAAAGATACATAAATAGAAGAACATTATAAAATAAAATGGCAGTCAATTATTTTGCAGTGTTAGTTAATGAATAGTTATCAAATTATACACACAGAAAGTACATTGTTCGTTAAATCGATTTATCTGATAAACACAAATACTTGTATATAAAATATTATTACTCTTGTAATTGTTACGTCCTGATAGATGTAGAATTTTTTTTTCGTTGGGCTCGGCGATCGGCGTAAACGGGTCTGACCGCACGAGCCGAGCGGCGCGTTTAGGACTTGCGACGGGTCAGCGACTGGAAGAGTCGTCTTTACTCCGTCAACAAGTCAACCGCTCGTGGTTCTCTTTTTGGGTCAAGGAATTGAATCCCTATTACCCGGGGCGGAACCTTTGTGCGCAATTTGAGAGGGAAGGTGTGAGGGGGGTGACGAACGAGGAGGGTGTGGTTAAATGAAAAAGAACAAAAGTTTAATTTATTAAAGACAACATTTTAATTTGATTGAATTTATAATTAGGATACAAAAACTTAATTCTTAATCGCATATATTAATAATTTTATTTATGTATTCTTTACAAGTGTTCGTATAACTTCGTATGTGTGTGTGTGTGTGTGTGTTTTATTTTTCCGGAGGGAGGACAGAAGAAATAATAAAATAAAGAGAAATGAACTGACTTACTCGTTGCAGAGTAGTTTCGGATCGCGTTGAATATGTTCGTTGAATATGTTCGGTGGTTCTGAGCAGGCGCCCCGTTGAGGGAAGGCGTTATATGAGCGTCGGACCCCTTTTTTGTAAACGCGTGGGCACCCTGCTGCGGGATGGTGTCGTCAGGGTGATGGCCTTCTATCGTTACAGGATTACTTTCGGATTGAGTTGAATGTGTACGGTGGTTTTGAGCAGGCGCCCCGTTGAGGGATGGTGTGTAGGCGTCGGACCCTTTTGTCAACGTGTGGGCACCCTGCTGCTGGATGGTGTCGTCAGGGTGATGAACCCTCTACTTGGTCGTGACAAAGTATCGACCTTTTTTATTTCGCGGCCAGAACTACTCGGAAAACTGTCTTAAGGACTTGGCAAAACTTGCTTGATAACTGAGTGACTAATTGGGTTTAATTGCGCTTGGAGCCACCAAAACACGGGTTTTTATACCCTTTCCTTGGGGTGGATCCATTTGGAAAATCTTAGGTTTTTGAAGCGGGGATCGAATAGGAATTAGCCTTGTGAGAAGATTTTTAATGTGGGGGAGGATGGCGTCATTTTTAACTAATAGGATTAGGTTTAGGTAATTAAGTTACTTGGAATGGGGGTAGGAAGAAAGGGGCCCTAACGAATAAGGAATAGCGTCGTTTCGGGTCCATATGCGATGAGGGTAGGTTTTTGAGGTGGCGTAACCCGGTTGGTGTTAATTAGTATAGGTGGGGTGCATCTCAGTGTCTTAAGATCTAGGTGGGCGTAGTCTTTAGACCGTACGACGGAATGAAGGGTGGTCTATAGAGGTGCTTGCCCCGATTCCCGGCTTTCGGATTGGAGGGTTGAGAATCGGTATATGAGTTCGCGAGGCCTTGGGTCACTGATCTAATAAATTTGATAGTTTACGACTGTCGCGTGGCCCTGGGGTCGCGTGGAGAGTGCGATTAATGCATCTCGGTTTCCCAGACCCTACTGAACACGTGCACCGTA